GCTCAGATAATCCTTCGAGAAAAAGACTTGTCCCTACAACGGTTAGACTCAAACGAGAGCTGCGCAATAGGGCCAAATCCAGTACTCTGAGATTATTCAATCCTGATCACATGTGACGTGACGTATTCATCTAATGGCTAACTCCCATCACTTAGAGTCCCACAAAGCACAAAGCAAGAAGCATTCAGACACAGGAAACTACTCAAGCAATTCTATCCTCATAACAAGAAACTGTACTAGCATACAAGGTTAAGCTCATACTATCAGGCATAACCTAAACAGGCTATCCTACTACTGTCTACTCAATACTAGCATGCAATTCTAACAAAGCTGAAACACATATAGCAGGCACATAAGGCATCCTCCTAGATTCTTAGTCCTATTCTAGCATGCTGTTCTACTGAAACTGATAATCATAATATAAACTTGTATGGGTAATTTGGGAGTACTTACTTGAGCTCGGATGATCGCATGCACCACACCCTTATTCTCTTTTTCAAAAACTCTTTTCTTTTTAAGTTTTCTTTTTCAAAAATTCCTTTGAAAACATTTTCTTTTGAAAATCTTTTTACCATTTCCTTAGTTTGAGTCCAGTCACACCCGAGAGTGTGCCTGAATCCCTCAAACCAAGGCTCTGATACCAACTTGTAACATCCCAAAAATACAACCCAAAAATTTTCGTTTGAAAACTTTACTAAACCATAATATCAAATATTAAAAGATAAATCCATGGATCATGCGTCTCAAAATGTCATAATAAATTTATCAAATCAACTGATGTCAAAACATATCAAAATATCCGAATAAAATTCCCAGGATAAACTGAAGTTGTGGTGTGTGCCATGCCATCATCCCGAGCTCTTCCCCTTACTAACGGAAGTACCTGAAACCAAAAACTGAAACTGTAAGCACAAAGCTTAGTGAGCTCCCCCAAACTACCACATACCATACGATAACATATAAAGCAACTACTGGGCCTTGCCCACTACATCGGACCGAAGTCCGAAACTAACCAGGGCCTTGCCCTCTGCATCAGACCGAAGTCCGGAAACTGCATCGGATCGAAGTCCGGAACTAACCAAGGCCTTGCCCTCTGCATCAGACCGTAGTCCGGAAACTGCATCGGACCGTAGTCCGGAACTAACCAGGGCCTTGCCCTCTGCATCAGACCGTAGTCCGGAAACTGCATCGGACCGTAGTCCGGAACTAACCAGGGCCTTGCCCTCTGCATCGGACCGATGTCCGGAACTGACTGAACATATCATAGCATAATCATAACTACTAGCATAAACACATATACTGCATACTGCATCAGACCGAAGTCCAGAACACATAACACGAAGACATGATTGAATCACAAAGACATCAAGCACACTGAACTAATGCATCGGACCGAAGTCCGGAACTACTGCTAACTTAAACGGGCCGGCATTGTGGCCGTAGACCCGTTCCTACTGGAAGGAAACTCACCTCGTAACGCTGGCTGCTGAGGTGCTAAATCTGAGACTGTCTGACTGCTGCTCCGGAACTCCCCGGCTACAAATCCCATAAACACTAAATCAAATGCTAATAACTAATCTCAGGGTAAAATGACTATTTTACCCCTGGTTAAAGTCAACTTCCTGGTCAAAGTCAACTTCCCGGTTGACTCTACTCGCCGAGTCCTACTATGAACTCACCGAGTTCTCGGACTCACACTTCTCTAACTCGCGACTCGACTCGCCGAGTCGGGACGTAGACTCGCCGAGTCCCTCTACTTCCAGATCTTTGTTCTAACTCACTGAGTCCTCTTCCACTCGTTGATTCAACTCACAACTCTAAAATCGGAGAAATCAGGAGGGTTTGCACTCCGACTCGCCGAGTCCAAGAACAACTCGTCGAGTCCTATGCATGTCCTCACTAAACATTTGATTCTAATCGATTCCAGTGCATACAAATCATAGATCTGAGCTTCTAGGGCCGATATAACTCGTAAAGTTGCTAACTTTACGTACATGCATAGAGGTATGAAGCTAAAACACCAAAATAAGCTAGAAATGGGAACCTAGGGTTTGGAACAAGGCCTTGCTTTGCATAAAGGTAGCTACTTTGAGCTCCTGGGGCTCAATGATGTCCAGATCTATAGCTCACTACCTTAAGGGAGCTCGAAACTCGAGTTTGGACCTTGAAATGTCCCAAAAGTGGCAAAACAAGCTTATATGAAGATCTACTAGGAAAATGAACAAGGTAGAGGCTTTATTACCAGATGAAGTAGCAAATGGAAGCTAGCTTCTAGATCTCCTTCTTCTCTTTTGCACCTTCTCTCTTTCCTTCTCTTCTACACTTCCAAGAATACACCAAAACACTCAAAATCAAGAAGGAATCACTCAAGCTCACCAATGGAGGGCTAGGGTTTTGAGTTCTGGACTATAGGGGCCGCAAATGAACCCTAGGGAAGAGAATGAGATGCTTAAATAGGGTACCAAGTCCCAGAATTAGGGTTTCCCGACCCAGACCAGACTCGTCGAGGCCACTAGTCGACTCGTCGAGTCGGTCACTTAATCTTCCACACGGAGCCCGCTCCGACTCGTCGAGTTCTTCCTTGGGCTCGACAAGTTGACTCTTTCGACTTAGAGCTTTTCTTTCCTTTCTTGGTCTTTCTGATTCTGGGTGTTACAGAATAGTAGTTGTATTAATTAAAATAAAACTAATGAAGAATGAAATCCTGTAAACATTGGTTAGTTATACTGTTGTGAGTTTGATATAACCATGCTTGATATGAGCTAGTGACCTCTACGATGTTCTTCAGGCGTCGGAACGGTATGATATTTGTCACTCCAGGCATGCCTGCCTAACTGTAGCTAGCAGTTTAGGTATGGGATTGCAGTCCCGAACAGATCTATTCACAAATCTCACGCTCTCCCTCCAGGAGACTCTAGTTATACTGTGGTAGGATTTAGTTCCGCACCCCGAAGGGTACAATTGAAGTAGTGCCTCACAACCCTGTATTAACTAGTTTATGTTGGATTAGGTGTCTAAGCCCATAACTATTTTGGTATGTACTTGACCCGATTATGAGCATGGTCCTTTTGGGTTGCCTTCACCATAGCAACTGATAGGATGAATTAAGGAGAAAGAGGATTAATTATGATTTATTAATATATTATGTGAATAATATATTAAAAAAGAAATCATACTGTTTATTTAATATTGATCAAGAATTGATTTAGAATTAATTTTGTGGTCAAAATAGATTAATTAAATTATGGGGATGGCTATTGTAATTATAAGATAGTTACAAAGTTGGGCTTAGGATCCATAAAGAAGCAATGGACAAATTCTATATGGGAGTCCATATAGAAATCGTCTAAGGGGCCTTCTGGAAGGATCTTTGGGCTGCTTAAGGACTAAGCAACTGGATTAGGGTTTCCTAGTTGATAACCCTAGAAGCCTAACTATAAAAGGAACCCTTAAGGCCACCAAAATTCGTCCCTAACCTTCTAAGAGAGCCATTGGACGAATTTTGTGCCTCCTCCTCCCTCTCCTAAGTCATCTTGTTGCTAATGGTGTTTGTGACTCCATTAGAGGTGCAACACTTGGGGCACTAAGTTTTCAAGAGTCAAGGACTTTGTGGATTGTTCTTGTTATTGCTACATAACAAGTAAGGTAAGATCTAAAACCCTAATTTTTTTGTCAATTTCGAAATTGGTATGCTAGTTCTTAGGGTTTATGCTTTGGATGTTTATTTGCATGATAACTAGAGAAAAACCTAGATCCAAAGTATTAGGGTTGCATGTACAACATAGGATTGATGTAATGCTTAAATCCCATCAGTGGTATCAGATCCTATGGTAGTTTTTCTGTTATATGATGTAAAAGTTAAGTTTTCAAAGCTGAAAAAATTGCGAATTTCAAATCTGACCAGACTCACCTCGTGAACACAATTTGACAACAGATTTCGAAATTTTTGCCCTAATCTGATTTGGATAATTACCATAAATTGTTTTTTCCAAATAAAAATCAAATTTTTAATTATGGTAATTGATATCCTAATCAAATTAATAGATAATTTTCAATTTAAGATAATTACTTGTTTTATAAGATAAAGATTAATTATTTGTATTTTGATTTGAATTATCTTGTAAGAAAAATAGATTAGGTCAAGTTATGTGATAATTATTAATTATATGATATTTAATTGTTTTTCAAATTTGATCTAAAAGATATTTTGAAAAGTTTCAAATTTTGCCCTCAAGTTTTGGAATTTAAAATTTGATTAAAATGTTTTAATTTTGAAATATTAAATTCTAAAACTCTAGGGTTTTGAAAAGTTCAAAGACAAAATTGCAAAAATGGTCTCTGTGGTATGCATTTTTTTGGGGTTTTAGTCCAAACCTCGACTTTTTTGGATTGGTGGTCCTTTTGGACTAGTTTGTATGTGAAAATGGTCCCTCCGAAAATTGAAATGACTAAATTGCCCTCTTGATATATTTTTTATATTTTTTTTATTTAACTTAATGTTTTATTAATAATAAAATGGGGCCCACACCCCAATCTCTCTCTATCTCTCTCTCTCTCTCTCTCTCTCTCGTGCGCTATTAACAAAAGCTCCACAATTTTGACCTGGAAAGATTGAGCCTTTCTTTGAATCGATCGGGTCAAGTTCTTTCTACTATATGCGTTTTGATTTCTTGGAACCTAATTCCATATATAGATCTTTTCTATTATAGCAATTTTGGGATATGTTTTCGAGCAATTGAGGGTTTATTTTTGATGGCATCATCTGCGATTAAGCATGTCGGAGAACACCACCGGCGTCCATCTTCCGCAAGGGACTTACCGGCGGGGGATGATGTAATATTGTGAAGGAGCAGGGACCAGTGACAATCGAACATGTGTTATTGGTGTTGAGAGACACAAAAGACGAGAGAGAATCACGATTTCGGGGGTTGTTTAATTTCTTTGATACATCAAACGCAGGGTAGTTGGATTCTGTTCAGATCGAGGTAGGGCTATCGGCGATGCAAATTCCGACGGATTACAAGTATGTGAAAGAGTTACTTAGGGTTTGCGATGTAAATAGGGATGGAAGAGTTGATTATCAGGAGTTCAGAAGGTACATGGATGACAATGAGCTTGAGCTTTATCGTATTTTCCAAGCCATTGATGTCGAACATGATGGTTGCATTTTACCGGAAGAGCTCTATGATGCTCTCGTTAAGGCTGGTATTCTACCATACTTCCCCCTTTTATCTTCTCTGCAATTTACTTCCATTTTTCCATGAAGTTTATAATTCTGTAATCAACAAGAACAAATTCAAACACCCTTCGAGTTGTCATCCTCTTATTAGCCATGGCAGCTTTTCTTCTGCAAGGATAGAACTTGACGATGACAAACTAGCAAGCTTGAAACCACCTTTTATGTTCTCTTCAATTTACTTCCATTTTTCCATTATGTGTATTTATTCTTGCAGGGATCGTTTTTCTCCTCCAAGCCTTCCCTGTCACTGCCTCGTTCGTGATTAGCCTTCTTGATCAAATGAAAACCAAGGACCGGAGGTCCCTTTTTTCCCGTCGCCCATTGAATTGCTAATAAGTGTTGAAATCTTGTAGATTGTTGTCGGTGATTCAATGTTATTTAGCCATGAATCTTGCAGAGGTGGAGGAGAAGATAGATTGATGTATGAGATTGAAGAAGATGATTGTTGTGGTGTGTATTGAAGAAGTTGTGTGGGTTTTTTTAGGAAGAAGATGATTATACATGAGAGAGAGAGAGATGGGCCCATTTTTATATTTAATAATAATAATAATTTTAAAAAGTGAAAGAAAAATGAAAAATAAATTCATTAAGGGTATAATAGTCTTTTTAGTTTTGACAGAGACCAAAACTGCATACAAACTAGTCCAAAAGGACCTCCAATCCAAAATAGTCGAGGTTTGGACTAAAACCCCAAAAAAATGCATACCACAGAGACCATTTTTGCAATTTTGTCAAGTTCAAATTGAACCCTTATGGTTTTATTAAATTAATTAAATTTTTAATTAAAAGAGATAATTAATAAATCCATAATAATATGGTTTAAGATTGTAACGCCCGTAGATCCGGGCTAGTCAATTTAGAGATAATAGGGGTCGAAAATGACTTTTCGACAAAAGATTATTTAGAATAAATAATCTTAACCAAGTTGTATAATATGTCGCAAGGTTTCCGTACATATAAAGAACGCCGAAATCCGAGTTATAACGAATAAGTTATGGCCCGTCGAAGTTTTACGTCAAAATTGGCACGGCACCGGGAGACGTAAATAGTGAATTTACGATAGAGGACTTTTTAGCCTTAGTGATATAAACAAAAGTTGTAGTATATGTTAAACCGAGAACATACAAAAAAAGAACGCCCAAATCTGACTTCGTATGAGGAAGTTATGATTTTTCTAAGATTTGGCATAGCAGTGCACGGCCCGAAACTCGAATTTTAGTTCGAGCGGTTTTTGGCTTACGCAACCTTAATGAGAGTTGAATATCTCATTAATAGGAACTTAACGGTAAAAAGACAGACGAAAACGGAGTTCGTATGAAGGAGTTACAAATTCTTCGTGGTCATTTAACAGTCTAATCTCCTCCTACTATTAAATTTAATATCGGTCGAGAATTAGCCGATGGAGTCTAAATGAAATTTGTAGATCTTGTTTTTACCTACGCGTGGAAAAAAAGAACGTCGAATACGGAGCTCGTATGCGAAAGTTACGAGGTTTAGAAGTCAATAGGGTGCTGCTGCAAAAGGGGTGACGTGGCTGAATATGGGCCAAGGCTTTCTCCCCAAGGCAAGCCACCAGAAGGTGACATGTGGCATGGACTCGACGAGTAGGAGGACCTACTCGATGAGTAGAGCAGGATTTCACCCTATAAATAGATGTGTCGGGTTCCATTCATTCTCACACCTTTCCTCTTCCACTTTCTCTCTCTACTTTCTCTCTCTAGCCTCCCTAACCCCCCCCTAAAGTCTAGGTAAACCCCCTAGCACCTGAAGGAAGCCCCGAGGCTCCCGAAGCCCCAAGAAAAGAGCATTTCGGCTCGGGAACGCTGCTCCGACGAAGCCCGGTTTTGCGAAAAACCCGCTGTAAGTGAGCTATGCCTACCCTATCTTTAGTATAGCTTATGTTTTAATATAGTAACATTATTAGGACCTGAAAATAATTATTTGGGCTGTTATTATGAGTTATATAAGAGTGTTCCTTAACGCTTATATAATAGTAATAATAGCTAGACTATTAATTAGTCGCGGTTAACGTTAGACTAAACTCTAGTGGTAATGATACTAGGTTTTGTCCGAGGGAAATTGTTTTAACAGTAACGAAGTGCTGTCCAAGTACCGAGTCATCACCTTTTTAGGTGAGTGCATAGTTACTTTCATCTTACACATAGATATGAAGTATTTTTTAATATAAATTACGTGCTATGTGTGCATATTGTCTGAATACTTGCTGTCTATGCTGAGTGAAAGATTTTTATACATGTTTTAAATGATTTAAAATGTATATGTATTTTATATCTACAAAATGTGTTGGGTAAAACATGGGTAGATGAAATAGTTGTTGTTTGATAACACAATGAAAGACATCAATGTTGGCAGTGATCCAGTCATCTAGTGGAGTATAGATGACGACCACGGACTATACTAGACAGTCCAGTGGAACGCTAGCAGGCTCGTAACCTGTAGGTGTTTTTGAACTAGGTGCTCACTAGATATTTTTGAACTAAGTGTGTTCACTAGGTATTTTTGAACTAAGTGTGTTCACTAGGTATTTTAAACTGAGTGTGTTCACTAGGTATTTTTTGAACTAAGTGTGTTCACTAGTTACTTTTAAACTAAGTGTTTACCAGATGTTTTGGACTACGTGTTCACCAGTTGTAATCTATAAACCTTGGTAACGATGGACTTCGTGCCAATTCCTTAGGATGATCCTTAGGAATAAATGAACGAGGAATAGCTGATTCTTAGGGTAGATCCTTAAGAGTAAAGAAGATAATGGGGATGGGTAATTGGGTTGATTGTTTGATGTTTAAACATAATAATTATATTATTATAGGTTGAAAACCCTATGTACTCACCAGGTTTCCCAACCTGACCCACTCAGTTTATGTGAATCACAGGTGTCGATATGAAGTTACATCACACTGAGAGATTAAGGAGATATAAATCACTAGTGATAATGAATGTAAGTTCTGTTTATGCTTATGTTTTTATATTGACGATGACATCCCAATGTTTTAAAATGAATAAAAATACATTTCTTCAGAAATGCTTTGATAACGTATTTATCATGTTTTTCTGGGAACAAATTCCGCAACATTTTTATTAAAAGAGGTACTCTGATTTTTATAAAGCATAAACAAAATCGGTCTTTTCTGGCCGTGAAAATGGGGACGTCACAAAGATTAATCAAATTAAAAGTTTAATTTATTAATAGATTAAACCACATAGTATTTTAAAAGTGTAAAATACACCCTTATACTATATAAAATTAAAAGTCTAATATTATATATGTATGAGTAAAGAGTCAGTCTTACCGTTAGCAGGCTTGATTCACGAAGTTGGTCTATAAGGGGTGTTTAAAGAAGCGGCCTGTAAAATGACCGTCATTGGGTATCCACTCTTACCCACCGCACCCTTGACTAGTGGAGGGTCGTGAGCCGAATGGGTAGGATAGGACACAACCTTCCATTATAAGTATAATGAAATACGAAGTAACTAAACACTTTTATAAATTCCCAAATCTTAGTTACTTTAGGAAAAATGTAGAGTTGGTGCTAATCCATGAAATTGCACATTGCACCTTGTTGGCCATTAGTGGAGCGTGTGTGGTTAACCGGCACACTAATATGGGACCAATGAAGGATGGGAATGGGTAGCTCGTAGATTATCATAGATCAATGGAGCGTGTGTGGTTAACCGGCACATTGATTAGGTGATAGACATCATCGAGAGTACCAAGCTAATTTGCATGGTTATCCACACCTTGTTTGTGATCCTCGGCATCCCAGTCACAAACTTGAAGGGCATAATCGAGATTAAACATGCCATTAAAAAGTTCAATGAATCTCAAAAGATCTAGGAGTTTCAATTCATATAAAACTTAAATCTTTTTTTCGTTTTTCATGGTGGAAATTGGTAAATCGTCATTTACCTACCTTCAAATGTTCTGCAACTGGATTACGGCATCCCTCTTCCGAGTTGTAGAATATTGTGTTGGGTCCTAGCCTTAATATCTCATTTGGGTGTTTTATTAAGGCCTTCCCGAATCTTATGGAAATAACTTTCCACTTGAAGATGATGTTCCACGATTGAACCGTGGAAATGGAAATCATGCTTCACTTCCTCCACCTCCTCCAATTATTCTCCCTGACCCACAAGTTCGAAGACTTGAAAAGTTCAAGGTCACTCAAGCCCTGTTGGCAAAAAGACATGAAGATGGAAAGCCTTTGTGTGCACACGTCTTGGAGATGAAGTCACACATTGAAAATTTGGGAATGTTGGGTGTCGTTGTCTCAAGGAAGTTGGCTGTTGACTTGGTTCTTCAATCACTTCCTAAATCATATAGTGAGTTCATTGATGATTACTATATGGCGGACCATGACGTGACTCTCATTGCTTTGAGTTATTTGCTAATTGATGCTGAATCAAAGATGATTTGGCGCACTGGTATAGAAAATGTGACAAGTAAATCAACCTCCCAAGCTTCCATGGACATTGACAATGGCAACATTGGAAGTCCAAAAAAAGTCTTCTCTTCCCAATGGAAAGGGATCGGCCAAGGTCAAACCGTTTGACCGGATGGTAAAGAGAAAGGCTGAATCTAAGATTGTCCCATGTGTTGTTCCAAAAGACTCCACTTGTTTCTACTACCAAGAGAAGGGGCATTGGTTGCGAAGCTTCCGTACCTACCAGAAGGATCAAGAGGATGGGAGAGTCAAGATGTATGACTCTGCTTTAGGTAAATCCACTATCTAACTCTATTAAGTTTCTATTTGGAGATTCTTAATACATGATGTGATAAGATTACATTTTTATGTTTTGTAGGATCGAAGAAAAGAAAGGAAGCTTAAAGGAAAAGTGAGCTAAGTCTGATCGCGAAGAAATGGATTTCGATCGCATGGTTCGATGATCGGATTTTTGAGCTGCTACTTAGAGAGTTATGATAGATTGCTTAGGAATATGTAATAGCATAGTATTCATTTGAATTGCATTGTAAGGACAAGTTTTTTCCGCGTTTTTATAAATAAAATAAATTTTGATTTTTGTCTTATTTATAATTCCTTGCAATGACATTTGTGAAAATTGGTGTTTGTTTGTTTCTATTATTAGCAATGTTGAAATGGATGTAATTCTTAGTTATGTTATTTGTGGCAGTGTCAGAAATTTACCAAATAAGGAAAGATTCTCATCGCCCAAGTTTCAATTGGACAGAAACTTGGAATCATACAACTTGTATTGTGTGATGAATGAGAACCTTCGTATTTGGGAAATTAAGACTTATTCCTTGTTCACACAAGCATGTGAGTCAAGTGAAGGACTAAAGGACTACAACACAATGTTGTGCACTGGTCAAGTCCACCACAAAAATGATAAGACTATTCGTCATAATTTACTAAAAGTTTAGTAAATATCGTTATGCTTACAAGATTAAGTGTGATTATGAATCATTGGAAAAGGTTCCAAT